TGGTTTCCTTGGATCACTTAGGCAAATGCTGAGGCAGTAATATTCCACAGATAATCTTTCATTCTCTTCTGTCTTCATTTCGTCCGTCTCATCTTTCTCACCCGAACCACCACCCACCCATTCCCACGATTCCTGAAAGCAGGTTGAAGATGGCCTTCCGCCCTACCTTCCGGCATAGTCCGGAGGGACTGCCCGCCCACAAACATTACTGTCTGGTGGGAATGAAACACCCAAAAAGTTTAAAGAACTATAACTTATAAGTATGATTTTGTCACTTGTGGCATCAGGCTTTTAGTGTTTGTAAACATTTTAAGCTCGTATGATATCCATTTCTTCTATTGATTTTATTCAAATGTTAAGTCAGAGTCACGATAAAGGATAAATAATTTAATTATTTTTTAAACAGGTCCGACGTTTCGCCTAAAAACAATAGATAACATACGTATGTGGGATAATAAGATGTATCGCTGATACGAAACCCTCAAAATTGAAATTAATTAATATTGTATACTCATAAACAATTTCAGAATCTAAAACTGTCAAAATTATTACTCATTTATGGACACGTGTTTTGCCCACTTCTTAGGTAAACGTGAGATTTAGATGGGCGAAACACGTGTTCGCAAGTAAAAAAGTTTTAACTTACGTTCGAGTAATAAAAATAGAAAATAACTTTCATAATAGCGTGTTGTCTCGATAAAGAAATTGAACCGCTTCATTAGGTACATTTCCAATTAATATGTGGATTAATTATAAGGAAAATGGAAAAACAACTCATTTAATAGATAATGAGCTTTTACTTCAGATTTCTCTTAAAACAAAAATAACGTACAAAAATATTGCACCATTTGTCTCAATAAATTAATTTGGGTAGTAGCAATCTCTTTGTAAACTTAGTTAGGAATGGAAAAATTTAAAGTGCTAAAAATTTTATTTGAAAACTAATATCCAATCGTGTGTATTAGAAGTAAACTAAACGGACTTTGTCTCAGGAACAAACCGGCGTACTTGATCCAACGGACCTGACGGTTTATTGTTTATAATTACTGACGGACTTAATCCGTTGCATGTCTCTATTACAATATTATTTTCGCGAACCCCCTCTGCAAACACTGCGAACCCCCAGGGGTTCGCGAACCACCGGTTGGGAATCACTGGTCTAGATAAATTATGGTCCAAGAAGCTATAAAAAATAAATTGAATGCTAAAAAAAAAAAATCAGGTTTCAAAATTGCCTCGAAAAATGCAATTTGTGGCTTTTTGTGAGGATTAGTATGTGAAATAAAAGAATAAAACAACCAAAAGATTAGCCATTTACCATTTTCCGAGATTGAATTAGAATTAATTACAACAGCACAAAATTTTGAAAAACTCCAGAATCCAAATATTACTAGCTTGACTTGTTTGAAAAATGCATACAAAATGATCCCTTTGTGTTTAGACCCCAGAAAACAAGTTTTATTTTTCGAGACGTTCTACCCTCAAAATCAAATAAGCCAAATTAGCATCATCATAAGTCGAAGATAACAATTAATACTTTTTCGATTATTCTAATCTTTTAAAATTAGAATATTTCAAAATCTAGATGTGCTGTGGCTACTCTGAGGTCAAATTCGAAATCTAGCATCGGTAATATTATCTGTGATCTTATCGATAATTTCTTGATGGACACAAACATAGGTTATTATTAAATTCGTGAGGTGTAATGTAATTCTACATATTTTGTCCACATAGCCTCTGGACAAAATTATTAAAATTTGATAACTCAAAGTTTGAAACCATGCAAGCTACAGCACCCTTAATTCTGGCAATTAGAAGTTGACAGATTTTGGATCGTAAAAGGGGTGTAAGGAGCATCGTGGGGTGTAATGTAATTCTACATATTTTGTCCACATAGCCTCTGGACAAAATTATTAAAATTTGATAACTCAAAGTTTGAAACCATGCAAGCTACAGTGACGTATGAGTGTATTACGTATACGGATGGTATCGTGCTGAACGAAAATATTTTTGAAGTATAATTTAAGTAACACAATATTGATGTTTTCTGTAATATAAATTGTTTANAATATTTTATATCTCTAAATTGATAATCCAAAATCGGGGTGCTTTTCGACTAAAACCTCAAATAATAGTGATTGGCCCTAACCTTCGGAAATTTAAAGCTAGCTTAAAGAAAAGGAGATGTTCCAAAAGTATTATTATTGTTTAATGTAGGGGTGACCAACCCAAATGATCATGCGGGCCAATTTGTAAAAATAAATCATAATTTTTTAAGTTAGATTCCTGACCGTGAATGTTAAAATTATGTAGTTTTTTCCAGGGTGGCGGTCAAATAATTAGACAACTGTATGTTTTTGTAACGTTTCGGTTTACTTAACCATCTTCAGCTGTTAGAGTTGTAAACAGATATCAACTTATTTTTAAACATTCTTAAAGAAGTTAATATCAGTGTACAAGCAGTAACACTCCAAAAGTCTGAAGATGGTTAAATAAACCGAAACGTTACAAAAACATATTGTTGTGTAATTATTTGACTGCCACCCTGGAAAAAACAACATAAAAATAAATGATAATTAAATGGGCTACATACAAAATTATAGGCTTATCTCCAATTTATATTTAGACTCACTACAGACTTTTTTTGGAGTGAAAAATTGAAACGTATTGAAACGAAAACTGAAATTAGTAAGAAAATTCATTAATAAAATAGGTAATTATTGCGATATATTCATAAGAATACTGTTTTGAACTCAAAGTAATTTTTTTATGGTAAATTGGACAGTAAAAAAATACTTAAGTTAACTGACCTAATGGAAACCTACCGATTAAGGTCATTATCATTTCGCACATCATTCGATGAGATGCCAAATTTGCACAATTGGAAATATAAGAAAAGTTTCTGTAAAAAGACTGGGGTTTAAAACGAAATTCATCTGGCAATGCTGATTTTCGTTCCAATAATATTCACAGCAAAGAATGAAATGATAACGTCTATCATCACAATGCCAAAATTTCAGTCGTTCTCTTTAAATTCATCTTTGACAAACAGGCAGGGACGCAAAACAACTGATGCTACTAAAAGTAATTTTGATATTCCTAATCGGATCACATCAAAATACTTACAACCCACCCTACCTACCCCCATTCGACCCAATTCATACCAACTTGCAAGATAACAAAAACAAATATCTAATTCAGTGAACAATCGCAGATTTATTTATTTAACACCACCACTTATCTGTTGTTACAACCGTTATCGTACGTTAAATTAAAATGCCTGTGACGATGTTGTCGTTGTACGTTGCGTAACAAAGCATCCAACACAAATTACGACCAGTTGAATAGAGTTCCAAAAAGCAATTCGAAACAACAGTAAACGTTAATCTGCCTTGTTTAGTTTCTCCATTTTACCGTAATCTCTGTGCGCAAAATAACTAGTCCACGACATACGGGCCGATGCGATGTAAGGAATTACCTACCTCCAATTTATCTGATTCATTTTCTTCCTATTTCCTACTCTCATTCGCTGTAGTTTGCGTTAAAACGACGGTAACCACAATACCATTATCTCTTTATCAGTTATTAGCAGGGGCGCACACAAAATTTTCAATTGAAAACTAAAAAATTCATGTCGACGTTACATTTCAAAAGTGGCCATTGTTGTATATGAAATAAATGACCAAATAAAAATACATAAATTCTGAATGTGTTGGTAATTGTTTAGTGGATCGGATCTTAATGGTGTCAATAAGTA